TTCCCAGTCATCGTCCGCTCGAACCAAGTCGGGTTTTATGTGGGGCAACTTGTTGATTGTAGCCATAACAAATCCAGAAAGTTTTTCACTTTCTCCCAGAGTTTGAAGTGCATCGAAATTCTTGCTTAATTTCTCATAGAAATCTTGAACTTTTTCATAATTATGTCCTCTTACTGGAGTTAAGTTAATTATGGCATCCATATGGGCATTGATAACATGTTTGGGGTGACCATACTCGCTTTTTAATCTCTCCCATGCAATCTTGTAACCGACTTCACCTGGTTTCAAATTAGCAATCTTTTCCCTCACCTTTGGGCTCACCATTTCCAATAAAAACCCGTATTTTTCTTCGGCTGTACTCGCTTTCTCGTGAACAAGTGTCAAAAACATGTTCTCAAATCGCACCCAATCTGTGGGGGTCCCATTAAACGGTGTTATTTTTAACTTTGGTAATTTCGCTGCAGATGAACGAGCGGTCTTTTCTATTTCAATCTTTCTCTGAGTCATGCGTAATTCAGCTTCGTGCCTTTCTTGCCATAATTGTCGTTCGCGTTCCTCTTGTGCTTCGCGAATTTCAGCTCGTCGTTGTTCTTCTTGTTGAAATTGTTTATCTTTCAATTCTAGCCGTCGTAATTCAGCTTCGTCATAAGCTTTTTCTTGTTTTTCCTTTAGTTGTTGTGCTATTTTCTCTTTGTCTTCGATCAGCGCTGAATATTTAGCTCTTGTTTCCTTTTTCCACTGTCTAACTGAACGCGGTGTTTTGCCGTTATCGATTTTCAACTCTTCTGTTTGTGAAATTAGCTCCGATATTTTGACGATTATTTTCCCAGCGCGATTGTTTATAGCTTCCATTTCACCGTAATCTTTCGCTTGAATAATTTCATTTGTTTCTTCTAAGAAATACTTCAACTTAGAAATCTCTTTCTCAATATCTCCTTCGAGTTTTTGCTCACCTGCGTTTGTAATCTCGCTCGCCTTTTCGTCGCTCATAATGATAAATCAACAGTGTTTACTTCGTATTTCGCCGCTTTGTGTGTTTGATTTTCGTCGCTTTTTCCTCTCGAATCCTGGTCACGGCACCACTAGTATACCGAACTCATTACTCACGTAGTATACTATTAATTATTTAATCGAAAATCCAAAAATAAAACTTACAAAACTTAAACCTAAAATATATTAAATTTCTCACAGTCTCACGAATCACGATATGTCTCACAGTCTCAATGTTGTTTTTGTATTATTCTGTCTATCAACTAATTGTACTTTGCTATTACTTCAAAATGTCAATCTTGTTTATAAAAGTCCCCGCCCCTTGTCACGCCACCTAATGTGGCCTATACTAATTTCGGTTCAGAAGTTGTTAACAGCTTGTTCCAAACTTGTTACAACAATTGGGAACAAGCAGTGCGAACACAACTTGTGAACAGATTTGCAACAACTTGTTTGCAGACCTGTGACAACTTGTGCGTTTTTACGTGTGTACACACGTAAAAATCTCACAACTCATCAACAAGATGTGTTCGCAACAGGCTTGTAGCAAACTTGTCAACAAGTTGTAACAATGCTGTTATTTTATCAAGTTGCTGCAAGGTTGTCACCGTTGTCACTCACAGTGGCGGCTTTCTCCGGTGGGGTGGTGGGAGGGGGGGGCAAAGCCTCCTAAATTTCCGACAAAACTTTCAAATTTCCGACAAACCTTCCCATTTGTACTCAAAAAGTTTTTAGCCCTCTTTTAGGTCAAAATTTCCGAAAATTCGTCAATTTGCCGTGAGAACCCCTCTGCCCCACCAAGATTTCCGCCACTGGTCACTCACAACTTGTTGACAAGTTGTTGAATTGCAAGACGATAACAAGTTGTTGGAACAATTATTAACTTGTAACAAGTCTGTAGGACTGTTGAGCTCACCTACACACGTAAAAACGCACAAGTTATAACAAACCTGCTGCAGACTTGTAGCAATGCAGTTCCAACATGCAACTTGTCAACGGGATGCGTTCGCACTGATGATTGTTCCCATCTTGTTGACAAGTTGTCGGCGACTTGTTGACAACTTGCTACAAGGTCGTTGAGCTCCACAGACTTGTTGCAAGTTGTTCCAACAACTTGTTATCGTCCAGCAATTCAACAATTTGTGAACAAGCTGTGAGTGACAATCTTGTAGCAACTTGATAAAATAACAGCTTATCACAAGTTGTTGACAAGCTTTCTACAAGCTCGATGCGAACACACTTGTTGACAAGTTGTGAGATTTTTACGCGTGTACACAAGTAAAAACGCACAAGTTGTTACAAGTCTGCAAACAAGTTGTTACAAATCTGTTCACAAGCTGTCAACAAGTTGTGTACGCACTGCTTGTTTCCAGTTGTTGTAACAAGTTTGAAACAAGCTGTTAACAACTTGTAACAAGCTTGATGGCATTATCAGGCTTGTCACAAGGTTGTTCTAGCAAATCTGATACAGTCATGATATAACAAGAATGTTACAACGTTGATGACACAAGGTTGTAACAATATTGTTATATCATGACTGTATCGGACTTGTTGGAACAACCTTGCAACAAGTCTGATGCTATCAACAAGGTTGTTACAAGTTGTTAACAGTTTGTTCCAAACTTGTTGACAACTTGAGACAAGCAGTGCGAAGACAACTTGTTGACGGCTTGTTGGAAGACTTGCTACAAGATGTGAGATTTTTGCGTGTGTAGGTTACGTTTGGTCACGCGCAGGTCACGAGACTACCAGCAGTGCATCGGGAAATCTC